ATAAAAATACGGGCTAAGAGCGATAAACCTCGCTCTTCGTGCCGCGCATCTAACGGCGATAATGTTGCTCATGCATCTCATTGTAATTATCGGTGGATTATGCATAAAATTATGTTCATTTTCGAAGCTTTTTAATCTTAAAGATTAGAATTTTATTATGCAACTACGCATTATTTTTAGAATTTCATAATTATAGAGATTAAAGTTTAAACTTTTACATCATAGAAGTACGAGTTATTTTCGGAGCTTCATAATATTTTAGAGATTATAATTAATTAGGATATTCTTGATATAATGCAATTTTGGGAAATTAATTCTATTAATAACATTAAAAAAGAGAGATGCAGCATACATTAAATAAATCCTAAGATATTTGGTAGAAAATTTTTTTAACATTGAATTTTTAAACATGCGAATATCAGTTGAACTCGCCAGGAAATCAGTCGTATGAAAATAATGTAAACAAAAAAACTCATTAAGTCATTTATTCACAGTCATATCTTTTTTCACGCCTGCGGCGAATAATAATTGAAACTACATATGCGCAATACATAACAATAAATATAGCAGCGTTTTGAACGCATGCTACGATAACAAAGACACGAGGAATCGTTTACTTTTTCGGGGTTTGTGGAGTGCTGGTAGCTTTGAAAACTAATGGATTCGATACCCGAAATATGCTAGGCAACATTGTGGCTAACGTTCCGAATACCTCCTCCGACATTCCCTGCAACCGATAAGAATGATATTGACGTGAGTGCAATCTTTTTCTTTCCTCTTTTAATATCAGTGCTTATCGCCGAACTTACTTTCGGTACGAGAAATTGTAAATTCTTCAGTTCGGCTCCACCCCAAGAAGCCATTTCGATCATGAAACCTTTGACGCACTTGAAAACTAACTCTGCCCGTTTTGTGCACCAGGCGACCGTCATGTCCTATAGCGGCACTCGATGTAGATTATTTATATTTTTTACCTAATTATCTAAGAATTATCCGTCTGAATTATCCAAGCGATAGATTACCTCTGACATTTCATGGACAAGCAGCACGGGTATTGTAAGCGTCGTCACATCGTTGCAACACGCTGTCTTCAAAATGTTTCGCAATCCCAGAATAGCGGGATGTCTCGAGTTGATATCGCCTATAAAATCAATATTGTGCACTTAACTCCGTAATTCGTTACATAGGAAATTTATAACTGCTAGTTATTTACCGGATCTCAGAGAATCGTTGACCACCATGTGGAACACCACGTGAACTTGCGCCAGATTGGAATGTCTCGTAATGAAAATGTCGCCTGTTTGCAGACTCTTACTCGTCGTGGATTTTTTCGCCTGTAAACAACACGCACGGTTTGGCATGCCGATGTTGTTAACCATAAATTAAATTTTTAATACTGTCGCCTACATGGGAATCGCTTCCTTCCCTGTGATGCGCCTGCCTCCAGGCAACGGCATCCTTCACGTCTTCCCGAATCTTTTCCAATTGCTCATCGATAGGCGGAAAATGGAATTCCGTGGTTAATTGACATATGGAACATAATTCTGCAATAGTACAGAACTCAAGTTTACAAGAGGTGCATAAAAACCAGTGATAAAATAATTTCGAAATCGTTGACGTAGTCTATTAGAAGGCACCTTTTGTTATTCCAGAATAACTGCCTAAATGATTATCGCTTAGAAGAACTAATCCGCAGAGATCGTTTGAATACAGTCCTAACGCTGTTTGCAATCTTTGCGGCGTTGGATCCATCCTAAATGTATAATATGTTTTTATTATATTTTCCATTATAATCGATTGAGAGAGAATATTATGAGACATTAAGGAATTGGTTCAAGTATATTTTATGCTTCAGGAAAATTATTAGACATACCCGGATTCGCTATTTTTTGTACGGCAAAAATCAAGCACATCTCCGGTCAATATGCGTATGTTGTGCATTTGTTTCATTTGAGATCCCAAATGTATAGTAAAGCTTTCTTCTAATAAAGGATAATCTGTCGTTTGCTTCTCCTCACTGTGAACAAAGTTGTCTAAAGCTGGACGCAACGGCGATAGCGGCACCATGGGCGAACCCCTATTGCATGAGAATGTACATTTTTTATTTCAATAAGATTTGTTTAATTTTCTTAAACTGATTAGCGAAATGCAAAAGAGACACCTACATTGGTGTGGATACCATACTAGTCTGTTGCTCTTCGAGTAGCCTCATAATCCAATTTCGATACTGCCGCCGTTGATCTAATCTCAAAGCGTCGATTTTGGATCCCCAGAAACCTTGTAATAGGCTTTGTTCCTCGAAATGACGACCAGCCATGTCGTTTATGGACTTTTCAGTAGATCCTGCTTCGAGAGCCTCGACGGCGACGCGCATTTCGTCGGTTTGTCTGGAATTTATACAATCCTTCTTTTGAAACACTGTTTTCTTTTTCTCTTACTTATTATTTTTAACCAAAATAAGGTAATTGATGAATAACAAATAAACAGATTCTTAGATTTCTAAATGAAATTTATGAATAAAATATTTGTATTTTTTATGTTTCGCATTTTTAAACATACATTAAGTGCATACATAAAAAACTGTGAGAAATGAAAAGAAAAGTCGTAAGACTGTTACTAACTTTTGTGTGAGACGTTCATAATCAGTATCCCTCATTTGAATTACTTCAGTAACATCTCGTCCATATTTGTGTTCTTCTTGCAAAATTGGTTCTAAAGACGGAGAATGCACTAATCTGTGATATGCCGCAGCAAATAATTCTTCATCTGTGGTCCCAATGGGATCAGAATATTCTACTGTCTTTTGCTTGTATATTTTCTCCCAGTTCTTAATTATTTCTTCTAAATCCAGATTGCCTGCTTTGGCAGCTTCGATAAATTTCTCCGCTTTGTCATCATGAAATTGCAGTGTAAATTCCTTGATATTACATTGCAGAGATTTCAATAAATCCAATTCCACGTAACATGGTAGTTTGAACGATGACATTATACGATGCATTAATTCTTTTATGGAACCATGATATGGTATTTTTAACGGAATTTCCAGTGTGTATTCTTGATTTGTAGTACATGTTGGAAATTTGTAGACGAATGTTTTCTCGATGTATTCCTCTTCTGATTTATTCATCGTCTTCAATAATATTTGTTTGTTTGTCATGTGATTTTTGTAATGAATTTGTATTTATGAGAAGTAGATATGCAAAATGATACATTATAAGTAGTACAGTGAAGCAATCATATGGTTAATAACCGCGATTAGAGTAATAAATTCTACATAATTAGCTTTCTTATCAGTATAGACATTACAAGACTTGAAAAGAGTGGTACATTTATCCCGCCAAGGTCAAGTCTTTCACAATATTCGGGTTAAGAGGGCAAAGATAATTCTCAGTAGCAGTTTTTTTTATGTTCATTGTCTATATTTATTTTAACGATAGCGGCAGCCAATTAATTTTAATTTCAACTTTGAGTAACTACAAATTTGAATGCCTACGCAACATATAAATCTAATCAAATATTATGTAAATAAAATATTTAAACATGATAGTGAAAACATCTGTAAAATGTCAGTAGAAAGTGAGCATCGAGTACTTTTGCTATTTGAAATAAGATAGTTTTTTTGATCAACTTTCATTTCAATTTTAATTTAAACATATACATTGTTGTTACAGCTGTAAGTTTTCAATTATGGTTCAATTATTAAATGATAAAATAATTTTTTATGTTTCTTGATTTTTATGTTATTCGATCGCTTCTACTTTATCGATAAACATCAAAATACTATACAATAAACAAGCTTGTGCTCGTGATTCAGTTTATACTGTAGAATAAGAGACAAATAGACCCACGATTAATTTAAATATTGGTATAAAAGAATCTCTAATCGTATCAGAATTATTTCTTTAAATATATATATTAATTTACATAATAAAGAAAATTAAATAATAAGGAAAATAAAAATATTAAAGAAACTGATAAGATATTTTACAATAATCATTTCTCCAAATGTGCCTTCGAAAAGATACTCCACTATAATTTATCTATTAAAAAAAGATTTTTGAGAAAATAGAAAGAATAAAGAAATCAAATCAATTTAATTAATTTAAAGTTTACAGAAACAATAAAAAAAATGTAAACTTTTAGATGTTGTTACAATATTTTTGATGATAAGCTAAATGTTTTTCTCTGTTTATATCTATTATTTTTATACATTTGTCATTGCTTCTTGCAAGGCTATTTCATTCCATCTGATCATTTGATATACATTTTTCTCATGTTTTACAATATCATAAAAATAAGGAAGGGAGAATATATATACCATGTTAATAGAGAATAAATTTATGTACTGACATTCATTGTTCTACTGATTTTGCTGTGTTATTCGACTATTGTTTGTTTCGATTGTGACAATCTGTCAACTTGTTGTAATAAACATAACCTCTATAACTCGCATACGCAGAGATTTTCTCGCACTCTTGAACAGATGAAGCGATTTGACGATTTTTTAAATATAAATTTTTATATAAATTCAAAATGGATACCGTTTATCTCGTGTCTCTCCAGTAATTTGAAAACACTATCTACGGACAATCGGTGACAAATGACAATCAACAATTTTTGACATCCTTTCCCCCTTCCTCTTTCTTATCCCTCCCCTTCCTCTTTCCTACCCCACCCCTTTCTCCGAGACAATTTGCGTTCAGAAAATACAATATGGTCGGCTTTTGGAAAGTAGATCTGATTGGTGAGTCGTAGTGCGCCAATCATAGCCGATTATGAATTCCAATTATTATCTTACATTGCTTTAATCTAATTTTATTCTTGATATGTGAAGCAATAAAAATTATTAATTTTGTTTATATTGATGTAACATTGCAAGTATTATTTGTTAAGTTAATTTTTTAAGTTAATCGAAGTTTGGTCGAAATTATTATACTTTCTGAACGCAGCTAGTAGTTCTTTGTTACATTTATGCTCATAGGTTTGATTTGGACGCCATATTAGTTGTATAAAATATACCAAAAAATTCCGGTACGCTTTGGCGGCGATTCGCGAGTATTTCAGTGAAAAATAAATAATCTTTTATAATGCTGGATCACAAACAAACGGAAGAGTTGACAGATCATGAAGCCGAGTTGTATGACAGGCAACTTCGTTTATGGGGCTTGGACTCACAGAAACGGTAGGTCTCGTAAAATTATGAATATACATAACCTAATTCGGAATCAAATACCGGCTTTTTGTGAAATCCCAAATTACAAGTGCGATATGTATAACACGGCTATAGAAAGATTTTTGGAATAGACGTGATTTGTTTCTCTTCGCTATTTATCGATTACGTACATCTTTTAATAGACAAAAATAGGTTTGTTTTCTACAGCTGAATTAGTATATACTTTTGGAACTTGCAACAGTATAGTAAATATAATTTTTATATTTAGTGAAAATGAAACAAATTCTAGTGCAGTTTAATGCAGGAATAAAAAACAGATCTAACATTTTAGAATATAGAGTTTATATAAAGTTTTTGTTAAATATTGTTTTCTTGAATGTTTTTTATCTATATTTTTCACAGATTGCGAGCTGCAAAAATTCTTTTGATAGGACTAGATGGTTTCGGAGCAGAAATTGCTAAAAATATCATTCTAGCTGGAGTTAAAAGCGTTACATTTTTGGACCATAGAAATATGACAGAGTTGGATAGATGTTCGCAGTTCTTTATTCCAAAAGAAGATATTGGAAAGAATGTAAAAATTAAACAGTAGATTATACTATTACTATTACTATTTTGCTGCACAAATAAATATATACTGAAATAATTGTTTGCTTACAGAAAGCTGAAGCATCATTGCCAAGAGCACAAAACTTGAATCCTATGGTTAACGTTAACGCAGATTCAGACAAAGTTGACGATAAGCCTGATGAATATTTTGGACAGTTTGATGTAGTATGTGCTATGCATTGTACTATCACCCAGCTGAAGAGGATTAACCGAGCATGCAGAAATCAAAAGGTCAAATTCTTTGCTGGGGATGTATGGGGAGGACTTGGTTATGTATTTATAGATTTACAAGAACATGAATATGTAGAGTGCGTACACTTATATTTTTTAATTTGACGTGTATATGTTAAGAGCGAATTTCTTGTAAATAAATAATGGAAAATCTTTTAGGGATGTATCAAAATCAAAGAAAGTCATGATACCGGAAGGTGGAGAACCTGTGGGTAAAGAAAAGATTGAAACCATAACAGTTAGTGAAAAGCGCACGGAAACTTTTGTACCATTTGAGTTTATTCTAAATGTTCCAAAAACATCTTTAATTAGGGAGGAAGAAATCTACTATATGATGCTAAGTATGTTTTAAAGTTAGAATGTTTTTTAAAGTAAAGATTTATATTTTAGGATATTCTAAATAATAATTTTTTTTAGTATTGCTGAATTATCGCGAAAAATATGATGAAGATCCATTGCCTAACGAAAGAGGCTGTGAAAACCTGAAAAATGAAGCTTCTGCCATTATTAAAAAATATGAGTTAGGCGATAAAATAAATAATTTAGTGGAGTATGTATGACAGCTTTAGCACGTAAATTAATCAATCAAAAAAGTTTACATGTATAATATTTTTGTAACTATAGGGGCGATTTGTATGGACAACTCAGTCCAGTTTGTTCTGTCGTTGGAGGTATCGTGGCTCAGGAAATAATCAAGGCGGCATCGCAGAAACACGCTCCACTCAATAATTTATTTACATTTAATCCAGATTCATCGTGCGGAGTTATTTTGAAATTGGGCTATTAATCGAACGTGATGTGTGGAGCTGAGTATAAAAGATTTTCTAATAATACTGTGATACACTGAATATGACATTATATTTCCCTATTTATCCATCCTTTTCGTACGTGAAAAACAGAAATTTATTTTATCAGCAAATATATTTTGAAAATAAAATTTCTTTACTCTTACATATATAACAGTTATTATTATGAATTTAATATCAATGTGATATATATGTATACGCATATATACACACATACATATATATATCTATGTATACACATGTTTATGTATGTAATATATTTTGTGAGTATGGAAAGTACAAACGTTTTACGCGCATATATGGTATGACTCGCTATTGAGATTTCGGCAAGGCAATTTCAAACTCGCTTTGTGGATTTTTTTCATGCGCACTCGGATAGAAAACACGTCGTGAAACGTAAAATTGGAAAGGGAGCCGATTAGAGTATGCCTCGTTATGCTTTATCGGCTCACCGACATTATTTTCAAGGGAACGCATTCCACGCGTGCATTCTATTTCCCCAAAATTTTCGCGAAAATGTATAATTTGATTTCATAGTTAATTCGCACAAATATATGTGATCAAAGATTTTATTACATAGTAATAGCAATGATATGACAATTTAGTCTCAGTATTCTTAATATAAATTATTACTGTGTCATCTCTGCTTCAATATTCCTCTTTATTCGAGACTATACATATTCGACAAAGTATGTGTGCATATGTGTGTTGTTTGCGCTATTTTACATACACGCGCGAGTAAAGTGATTGATTCGATCTTCAGCTTGGAATTATGATATATCGTCTTTTCCCGTGCACACGATGTCGTTGCGCCTCGAGCCTATCAGCGTGCTATGTAAATGCAAGGGTAGACATGTAAACCGTTTCGCTCGACTCTTCCGTCGCAGGTATACATGACGTGTTTCTTAACGATGTGGCCACGTGCGTTCACGGCTGTCGAATTATCTCGCACGACGTTTTATTTCGTGCTCGTCGGGAAACCATTAGCTGGCGCGACACGTAAACGTTCCTCTAATTTGACATTTGTTAGTATACGATACTAACGCAAGCCGCGCATTGAGGGTGATGGGAGTTCGTGACGGATTTGCCGTCACATTTCGACGGGCGCGGCAAATCGCATCGACTGGCGATTCATGTAAATTTAATAGTACCATGTCGCTTGAAATTTGCAATCACCGCGTCGAATTTACTTCATTCTATTTGGGATTAGATAGACCCTTCAATTTCTCATTAACGCAGCTTTACGCGGATTAACTCGAGAAATGAGATTTATGATATGATGGATTATGTGTCTCGTTTGTTTTATTTAAAGAGTTATCTGATATACATGATTTACGTATCTCCATTCGTTTTTTCGTACAGATTTTTATTACGGATTCAACCGATGCGTGCTTTCTGGCGGACATTCATTTGACGTGTATCACGCGTTCTAAGCGGAAATATATAGACCATCGTTAAAAGATATGCGATGAAGTACCTTCACGGTTTATGCGATCGCGTGATTATTATCTGACTCTAAGTGGAGTAGGAGACGTACTGGTACTCCCTGTGACTCATGCAAGGAATTCACTGAGGCTACCATCGTACATGCCCGCTGCAGAATCGATATGACACGTATACCTTTAGGAATGTTAAACTACAGTTTCCCCTACAGTATGTATGATTTCATTCATACACTTAAATTATAGTTTACATCTCGTGTTGGTCATGAGTGCATTCGCGTTTTAGAATTAAAAAAAATTGCATGATTACAATAAATCTAAACGTATTTGAAATTTCTTAAGTATATTTAAACTTCTTATATATTACATAATTTATTTTCAAAATTTTAATACCAATCGGGCTCTCGAAATTAAAAAACAATATAATATACGGACAATGAGAACGTTAACACAGCGCGGGAATTGATGCGCAATTTATATAATAGTCAAATAATATTTACATAATGTATTAAAATTGTACAATGAACTGTCGATACAAACTTATTTGGACGTTTCGGTTTTCTTCAAACTATCTTCAGCAAATTCGTAGATCATTATCATAGATGTCTTGACAAAATAGTTGGAAAATGTTGAAATTATGCTCTATGTAAGACCAAGGATGAGTATCTCCCTATTGTCTGGTTAGGAATTGCCCAATTTTTGTCTCTTCGCTGTTTAGCCAAGTGACTAACTGAAGAGTATAATAGGCATAATTATTATTTGCAATGTAATGAATTCAATGTATGCTTATTTTACTCACCCTCTTTCTCCATAGATCACAACTCAGTTATTCAGAGCATAGTAAGTCAAATTATAAAAGTTACGATTACAAAACGTAAAACGTAAAACTTTCCTCGTTATTAAATTAAGTATAAAATATACAACACATAACATGTGCTATCTAGATTATTTGACTATTATAAATTGTGTACCAATTCCCGCGCTGTGTTAACGCTCTCATTGTCCGTATATTATATTATTGTTTTTTAATTTATTTTATATATATTATATATGTAATAAATATATAATATAATTATAAACTATTATAATAATTTATATTTATTATATAATTTATAATTAATAAAACTTTATATTTTTCGTTTTGCGCGCGATCTTGAAAATACTGGAAATGATTTGATTACAAATATGAGAAACGTACTTATGGGACAGAGGCGTCACATCCCGAAACACACTCGGCACTTCTACGCTGTCATATCCTTCGCGCGAAAAGGTTTTCGAAGGGTGTGCCCTTTGTACATCGTTGATTTATGACTCGACGAAAATTATTGCTGCTGTTAAAATACCACTAGACACATTTATTGACAGACATACGTCGTTCTTGTAGAGAAGCACAATGATCCTCAAGATGAGCACTTTAAACCGATCTTAAGCGCTGAGCGTGAAGCCAATCACATCGATGCAAATGTTAGCGCAGTATTTGGCGTTATTATCGAAATTTATGTGATTTCCTTCTTGCAGTGTCGAAAATGCGACATTAAATTCCAACGTTATCGTCAGACGAGAACTTTTAAATCCCGTGTGTGAACGCGACATTCGAGCAAAAAATCCACGAATCGCGAAAAAGCATTGTCGCTGTGGCAAAAATTGCGTACGTGCGGTAACTGCTTACGACTTCTTTTGACGATAGTGGTTTCTATTTATACCGTGCCGTAACATGTTTTCCGCTTATCAGTATCTTATTGTCGGCGCTGTACCGCGCTTTCTTTATTAACCCTGTTTGTACGTGGTACGCCGCCACTGCCGCCGTCGCTTAAAAAAAGGGACCATGCATTTTGATAGCGCGATTGCTGAAGAGAAATGTTCTGGGCAAAGTTACTTCACGTGTAGAATTAAAACGTTATATCTGATAAGAAAGCTACATTTTAATTTTAATAACTAGATAAAAAATGATGTTATGTAACAGATGTACATTAATTCCTTGATAATAAGAGTTTAACTAAATTCAAACAAAAAACAATTTCGATTTGACTATATGTATAAATTCAAGATTTTGCGAATGAATTTTTAAATCCTCTGTTTGCAATTATATTTCCTTTCATCTGTAATCTGAATCTTTTTTGTTCAAGTTTTTTTTACTGTTTTGTAGGCTTTCAAAAAAACGTGGAAAAATCCAGGATTATTTTTCAATATCTATTGCATTACACGACATACATAAATAGTTTTCTCAATTATTTTAGGAGAGGAAATCAGATTCTGTCCTCCTTTATTTCAGAGAAATTTTAAAATGAAATTCCTTTGTGCCAAAAAGATCCAGATTGCAGACAAAGGGTTAAAATAAATTCTCATGTTTTCCTCTACATATTATATATGATATTCTAAAACCGAACCTCTCTAAAACATGGTGTCACTTTAGGCATAATAAAAAAAGGATATAATTTTTCTTTATAGGAGATTCCTATTATACAGGCAATTGGTAGACATTTTTATATGCCACGGTATTCTATTACATGCCGCTTCGCGTTGTTTGAAGCGATACCTCGGTGAGGAAGGCGCATAGGTGAAATTCTGCGAGTCCGAGGGTGACATCGCAGAACGCGGAGGGCATAAAAAGATTTCATGGCTCGTTTTCTGACCGAGGTACATAATATTTTTCGTGGTCGGACATTCGAGGCGCGTGGACTACCTCCTCTATCTTTCTCCTCGCTCGCTGCATTAACAAAATAACGTAATAAAATCTGAGTGCTCTCCATTGCTTTTTGTCCGTCTCTTCCCCTCAAACTCGTACCCGTCTCTCGGCAGCTATTTTCCATCGCTCCGTCTTTCTTTTTTTTCTAGGTAGGCACTCGTAAAGTCCGATACATTGTGCGCCGAGTGTTATATTCGTCATGGTAGTAACTGTCGACGACGGTGGACACGCGATCGGCGAAAGGATCGATGTCCTGCGACGTCTGCGATCACCCGGTAGCGGCACGTGACGGTGAGTCGCCTTTTTTCCTGATTAATTCACAAGCGACGATGGTACGAGCGTGTTCGCTGTTCACTCTATGACTTATTGACTCCGCCCTGCGGCCATCTTTAACATTTTAACGCGAGCGTCTTTGATTATATTGAAGTTTTTTTTCTCGTCTCTTCGCGAAATCTCTTGCACGTTAATCATGGCAAAGAACATTTGTTCTTTCCATCATATTCCAATAATCATGTATTATCGTTTGCGTGCACATAAATACACGTGGATGACTTTCCACGACGTTATATATACATAGAAATAAGAATATATACGCAGAAACTAAATATGCGCGAGGAACGTCGCGTCTCTTGTGAGCTATATGAACGCGTCGCGCTGCGGCTGTAAAGCTCGTTCCCGATAACCGACGTTTCTTCTTCGAGTTTCCGAATCATTCAGGGAAGGGGATTAGCAGAGGGCTATGCCTCCAGGTCGCGACATTAATTTCGCTCGAGCTGTTGCAACGCGGCTTCCGAGTTTCGGATTTCGAGCACGATTCTCCGAGGAGCGCGATTCTCCGCGATACTGCCGGGGCTTTACGAGCAACCATCGGTGCAATTCAGGCAGTTTTTAGGGTCAAACGAATAGCTAATGCAAATACGGCTTCTCGCGCCCGGCATTATTTCACCTCCCCCTTCCG